ACCTGGTGATAGAGGAAAGGGCCAACCTCGCGGTACATGCGCGCTCGCTTTCTATGCTCTCTGTTGATTGCTTCACGGAAAGCTTACACGCACATTCCAGAAACAGGGTGACGCTGCCGCCGAGCGCAAGTACGAGCGAGGCATTCTGTCGGTGATGCTGGGCGAGGACGAGGACGGCTCCTCGATGCCCCTCTCTCGCATTGTAGATAACATCAAGACTTTCCTGTACGACACGCACGCAGTACACACGGCACACGGCACACGGCACACGGTGTTTCTGACTTGATGTCCACAGGTTCGCCGGGCACGACACGACATCTACGTTGTTGTCCTTCGCCGTGGGCATGATCGCCACCCACAAGCACGTGGAGGACAAGCTGCTCGCCGAAATCGACTCCGTGCTGGGCGACCGATCGGAGCCCACCCACGACGACCTCTCTCGCTTCGTCTATCTCAAGATGGTAGGCTTACTTACCATTATCAATTGACTGCAAGAGATTGATTCAATCACATTGCAGGTGTTGAAGGAGACTCTGCGCATGTTCCCGCCAGCGGCGACCGGGCGACGTTTGCCGATGGGCTACCGCTTGGGCGACTATGTCGTCGACTACCCGAAGACGGACATCATCATCTCCTCCTACGTCGTGCATCACGACCCCGAGGTACTAACCGACATGTCCCCCAGGCCCAAGTGACTTAAGTCAGATGAGAACTCACACCTTGAATGTGGTGGTGGTGGTGGTGGTGGTGGTTTGGGCGAACAGTTGTGGGAGGACCCGGAGATCTTCGATCCCGAGCGGTTCAGCGAGGAGAACTCGAAGGGGAGGCATCCGCTCTCCTTCATCCCCTTCCTCGCCGGCAACCGGAACTGCATCGGCCAGGTACGACATCGACCCTCAGAGAGGGCCCATGCACCGATCACTCTCTAACCCATGGCTTCCCCCACACAGCATCTGGCGTTGATGGAAGCGACGGTGGCGCTGGCCATGATCTACAGAAAGTTCACCTTCCGCATGGCGTACGTTACATTCCCAGCATTCGCCTTTCTCCACTCGTTGGTGTTGCCTTACCGGCACTGGGCTGGGCCTTGTGGTGTGTCGTGTAGGTATGGGCACGTACCGCAGCTGACCTATCGCATCACCAACGTGTGCGCCAACGGCATGAAGGTCTTCGTCTTCCAGCGCAGCCAGCCGGGTGATGCTGGCCTCAACACCTGAAGCAGTCTACCCCACACACATCAAAAAACAAATCGAGTTACACTTATATTAAAAAGAAAGTTACGAAGAGTTGTCGTAGCCCGAGTTGCAATTGATGTGTTTTCTCCGACAGGCCAAGGCAGTTCCCAAACGGAGCAAAAGAGAGACGGCCCAAGGGGACGAACGAGACTAACGCCCCGTCGTTGCGTTGCACCTATCTCGAAGCTGAACCCGATTGGCTCCTTGCGTGTTCGCCGCGGAAAATGCCTAAAAGCGCCAATCACCTCCGCAGACCGCCGAGCTCGCGACCCCATTGGTGTGTGCTCCCGCACGGGTTGAGCTTTCGGCGTGCGGAACCTTCCACAGCCTCAAAAGCTTCCCGCCACCCAAGACAGTCTTTTCCATTCCTCTCAGAGAGCCCCAAGCCCTACCACCCACTCAGGCCTGGCCAACTCCAAACTCAAACCTGGGCAGCGGGTGCACGTGGTGAAGGAATCAGCACACTTGAAGCACGCTTGATCGGCCACAAGTGAGCTCACGACAGACAATTGAAAAAAAGCACATCTTTTGAGAAAGATGGAAGGAGACGAGTACGAGATGGAGCTTGCCGCTTCTGCCAGTGGAGAGAGCGCAGACACCATGGTACACCTCCCATCTCCTCTTTGCTGCCACCTCGATGCTCTCGCCACACGCTCCCGGCCGTAGCCAGTTCCTCCGGCGGAGCATT